ACATAAGTTTTAAGAATTTAAACTCCTATTTAAAATTACATTGCCAGCAGGTTATTCTTGTAATAACTAGATTGGGCAGCGAAAACAGGTTTAATGGAGCTGTGTGAAACACGAGTCTTCCACGACCGGGGTCTTTGTGCATGAAACACAACAGCTAATGTTGTTATTGTTTATGCATGTGCTAGCAAGAATAGAGCGTACACGACTTCTTCACACGATTCGTGCCGCTGAGCGGAGCCTCGAGGTCGCTCTGTCTTCCTTAGAGATGGGTTCCGGTGCTACCATTCCCTGGCTAAAATTGGACACGCCGATCGAGATGTGTGAAACGCCGTGCGGCCGGCAGCGGATTCACACTATCTGCGCTACTGCGTAGACATATTAATTACCGACATAACCAAGCTGTTTATTTAGAGTTCTGTTCTAAAAACGGGTAGTATCTGCTAGTGATTTCCGTGTATGAGTGGATTCGAATAGCTAAATTAAGCGCTTATATAAAGGAACGCGAAACGTCTAGAGTTTAGTTCTGTGCATGCGTGTTAATTCGTGCATCGTGCGTTGAAGCCTTCTGTACGTAAGTTCTTCTTAAGCGGTTGGCTTAGGGCTTTGCTAATTACTCTATCTTGATTTACTTTGCTACTTTCTAATCTTGTATCTATCTCTTCTCGAAGATTAATTCTTATATTTCTTAACGTAAAATTTCTTCACATCTGTTGTAAGAGTATTCACTCGCACTAGCTTGTCTTGGCACCTTCTGTACTATCGTGCTAACATATTGTTACAGGATTTTCTTGTAATAAATCTATCTTTCGTGGCACTGTCTTCTCTTGTGTTTTTGTGTTATCGTTTACTTTAGGTTTTAGGGTTATTTTCAGTTAATTTAGGTTAAAATTACGCTACATAAAAACTTTCATGGTTCAATCACCATTAGAAATATTATTAAAAAATGTTTTAAAACTAACGTCTACAGTTTGATTACAACGACGGTGGCGCCACTCAAAGCGCACAATCTGATGAGTTGCGCAAAACCACTTTTCAGCCAAGGGCTACAGACCGAGGGTGTTTCTTATTTATTAATTTAAAAGCAAAAAGATTGTAATATCTTATAAACGACATATAGTTTCAGTTATAATATGGATAAATTTGCCCTAAAATGAATATCGTTCGGTTAAATAGCATTTAGGTATAAATATAATTGCACTTTTGTGATTAGCCCTCGGTCTGTAACGTGCAAAATAAATTGTCAAGTACGGGGTGGCAATATAAACTTTTTCGGGGTGGCAGCACGGTCGCGGGTGTCATGGCGCCGTTCAAATTTCGTTTCAAATTTCGTTCAAATTTCGTAGCGTTGATGTGTAATTAATTATAACAATTAAATTAGGTATCTGGTAACAAATACGTGTGGGTATAGACGATTTGTTATACAGTAAGTACAGTTAATTGTATGCAGTAAAATCCTGGAGTCTACTATCCCTTTAAGTGTTAACATTTCTTACGCACTTTAATGTAAGACGTATCCCACTCGTGTTTCACACAGCTCCATTAAACCTGTTTTTCCTGCCCAAGCTAGTTATTACGAGAATAATCTGCTGGCAATGTAATTTTAAATAGGATTTGTAATAACTAGATTGGGCAGCAAAAACAGGTTTAATAGAGCTGTGTGAAACACGAGTCTTCCACGACCGGGGTCTTTGTGCATGAAACACAACAGCTAATGTTGTTATTGTTTATGCATGTGGTAGCAAGAATAGAGCGTACACGACTTCTTCACACGATTCGTGCCGCTGAGCGGAGCCTCGAGGTCGCTCTGTCTTCCTTAGAGATGGGTTGCGGTGCTACCATTCCCTGGCTAAAATTGGACACGCTGATCGAGATGTGTGAAACACCCTGCGGCCTGCAGCGGATTCACACTATCTGTGCTACCGCGTAGACATATTAATTACCGGCATAACCTTATTTAGAGTTCTGTTCTAAAAACGGGTAGTATCTGCTAGGTTCTTTCTCGGCCAGCCGATTGGCTAACAAAGAGTGATTTCCGTGTATGAGTGGATTCGAATAGCTAAATTAAGCGCTTATATAAAGGAACGCGAAACGTCTAGAGTTTAGTCCTGTGCCTGCGTGTTCGGGTGCCTTCTGTACGTAAGTTCTTCTTAAGCGGTTGGCTTAGGTCTTTGCTTACTCTGTCTTGATTTACTTTGCTACTTTCTACTCTTGTATCTATCTCTTCTCGAAGATTAATTCTTATATTTCTTAACGTGAAATTTCTTCACATCCGTTGTAAAAATAATCACTCGCACTAGCTTGTCTTGGCACCTTCTGTACTATCGTGTTAACCTATTGTTACAGGATTTTCTTGTAATAAATCTTTCGTGGCACTGTCTTCTCTTGTGTTTTTGTGTCATCGTTTACTTTAGGTTCTAGGGTTATTTTCAGTTAATTTAGGTTAAAATTACGCTACATAAAAAGTTTCATGGTTTAATCACCATTAGAAATATTATTAAAAAACGTTTTAAAACTAACGACTACAGTTTGATTACAACGACGGTGGCGCCACTCAAAGCGCGCAATCTGATGATTTGCGTGAAACCACTTTTCAGCCAAGGGCTACAGACCGAGGGTGTTTCTTATTGATTAATTTAAAAGCAAAAGGATTGTAATATCTTATAAACGACATATAGTTTCAGTTATAATATGGATAAATTTGCCCTAAAATGAATATCGTTTGGTTAAATAGCATTTAGGTATAAATATAATTGCACTTTTGTGATTAGCCCTCGGTCTGTAACGTGCAAAATAGATGGTCAAATACGCAACTTTTTCGGGGTGGCAGCATGGTCGCGAGTATCATGGCGCCGTTCAAATTTCGTAGCGTTGATGTGTAATTAATTATAACAATTAAATTAGGTGTCTGTTAACAAATACGTGTGGGTATAGACGATTTGTTATACAGTAAGTACAGTTAATTGTATGCAGTAAAATCCTGGAGTCTACTATCCCTTTAAGTGTTAACATTTCTTACGCACTTTAATGTAAGACGTATCCCACTCGTGTTTCACACAGCTCCATTAAACCTGTTTTTCCTGCCCAAGCTAGTTATTACGAGAATAATCTGCTGGCAATGTAATTTTAAATATGGGTTTGAATTCTTATTTATTGGAGTTGAAACTTATGTAAACTATGCCTGTTTACAATCTATATATATTATTTATTTATTTATATATGGTTTCTTTTCTTTACCCTTCTCTCTCGCATATTTAACGAAATATGTAGTAGCGAGCCTCTGTAAGCTATCTGATATCGCTTACGCGGATGCATTAACTTTCTCACAACGTGCGTTTTCTTCGCTCGCGTAAAATCTGGGAGGAGACCCTTTTAAGACCCTATTTCAATTTCGCAGAGATTTTGCCACGTCAGAGTTTTTTTTGCTGGCCTCAACCACCTCAGTGGTATCAATATGGATATAAGTGGACGGCTGTATTGTGCACAGCGTCCTTGCCGATTGTGACCAGTGCGGCGGATTAAAGATCGCATACTTCGGATTTTTGTCGTGTATAGTGACGCATAAGTGCCCGCTACAATTTTCCGCTGAATTACCTGCCACGCACCGCCAGGTTGGCCCGTTCCCAACACCACGTGCTGGATCTCATGGCCACGAGCATGAACGAAATCGATGTGTGCTCGCCGGTCGATCCCAAGGTCTGCCTCCGGGTGGATGAGCGTGTCAAAGAGCACAGACACTGGATTATTTGACCGTATCAGATCCAAGCTCTCGGACAAATACTCCAAGTCCTGTAAACGGATTGCCAAAACTTTCACTTTTAAATCTAATTGTATGTGAATCGCAATGCAAGTTAAATCATGGAATCGAACAATGTACGAAGAGTTATCAGACACTATAAAAACTCTGATAATATAAAATACTATAAAATTACTATAACTATAAAAGTACTATAAAAGTAGTATAAAAGATATTATAAATGTATTTGATAATGATACTATGGCGGCATAATAACAATACTAAGGAAACAGGCTACGTCATAACGATTAGATTACAGACATTGTGTTGTATCACGCCGTCATAAAACCCATGTTGCAGTTTATTATGAAATGCTACGACGCACAGTTTTAGAGAAATACCTGCTCGATGACAGATAAGTGCATATTCGCTTCCAATTTCGTGTGCAAAAATGAGTCAGGACTTGGGCCTCCGTTGTAGTACGGCCAATTACCGGCAAGAAAATAGGACAAAGTAATTCCTGACGGGCCATTCCCTGAAATAACCACATTTTCCTATAACACATGCTGTAAAAATTAATGTTCTTATTTTTTTTATGGATGTATCATAATCGCATATAAGTTAATTCAGCTATCAAATAACAATCGTGCAGTAGATTAATTAATTGATAACGATTGTTAAACAATTAATTTCATAATTAATTAAATGTCTACTATTATATTAGACTGCTGACAGTGTGTTTCACCACAAATTATATCACGTAATAGCAAGGGTGAATAATGACAAATAAACAAATATTTATCATTATACACTCCTGGCAATATCAAACTATAATACCCACATCACTTACCAATGACCACGACATCCTTGTACTGCGGTTCAGGATGTTTTGTTGTCATATTAGCATTAGCTCTGCATTTCTCACTTGATAGTAATGACTAATAACGACACGGTTGAATCCTTGTGTGATGTGCACTTCGAATGTGTGCTCAACGTAGTCTATACAGCGTAGTCCTAGGAAATGCAAATTTTGGTGAATTACAAGAACCCGGGCGGAATAGTAATTACAAGGTAGAGCACGACCCGACGATGTTTACTTTTCGTTTCCAACAACACAGTTTCTCGTTCAACCTCTGAAAGTAGATGCCATCCTCTTTTGTAGATTGCTGAGACATAAGTCGGTACATCTATTAAGCATATTCAGAATCAAGGATTTACGTCTGCATACATGTTCCCTGGGGAAAATTACGGCAAATGCATCGGCTGGATGAACGTTAAGCGCAGATAAAAAATATTTTTTAAATTGATTTTAATCACACACTGCATGACGGTGTGAACGTTTATTTACCGATATGCGTTAGTGATGAGTGTAAGGCATGTGCGCGCACGTGCAAAATATGAAAAGGAATTCCTACCAGTTTTACGCGTTTGGTAATCTAATCATAAAACTGCTTCATGAATTTCAGCGTTACATAGCCATATATGACATATCTAACGATGTATTCTTTCCTGTAAAAATAACACGTACAAATTAAATACTTAACATTACATATATCACCATCCATGAGCGTCGAACCAATAAGACTTAGTGCATACCGCCTTGACTCACTATCTTTACGCACACTGTACGGGAAACACCTGGCAGGTGTGCAGCGTCCCTAGATGCTGCGGTAACTCCATTAACGTGGAAATAACAACTTTCCTCTTGATACGTCCGATGATATCAAACATTAACTTCACATGAATTATGTCGGATTGCCACACATTGGAATGCTAATGAATATGCACGCAGTCATTGTAGATACAGCTATAGGATATATATTTAGCGTCGAGAATATGTATCTTTACTCGCCGCCTGTAGGCGATGCTTGCGTTTGCTGCTGACACCCCTTGTTTGCTATTGTGAATTAATCCTTCTCTTTCAGGGTCATATGTGTGTTTGCTGAGTTGGTGCAAACCTGGCGATGACGTCTGTGATAATATTTTTGCGACTACGAAATAGAGCGTACTTTTATAGAACTCGACTAATTCTCTCGCTTTTATTATAGCCATGAATGATCATGTAAATCATGGTTCAAAATTACTCTATATCTCATTGTTATCGACTGTCATGTTCATTCTGTCTGATTGTTAAATCAGTGAAAGCAAGCTTTCTTTTGACACTCAGATCAGGGGCGGATCCAGGATTTTTGAAAGGGGGGGGGTGTGTCGCGTGGAATTGAAATTAGAAGGGCCAATGTGAGCGTTTTCGCTGGGCTTAAGTTTTTCTGGTGGTTTTAAAAAAGCTGCCCTTGAGGCTGCCGTCCAGATTACGTAGCGAGGCGGCGGGTCCGACAATAATTTTTTTTGTAAGATTGCGTGCATTCGTGCAGAGCATCTGAGCCATTAATTTTTTAGGCGGCAATTTGCTGAAATTAAATTTCCAGACCCTCCGACCCCCCCCCCCTAGCATCCCGCCCCTGCAGATAATGAAAAGCGCCATCCTGCAAACGTTTAACCTGATGGTCGCCGCTGAGCGTATCCGCCCTGCCAACAATAAAACGGATACGTAGATGTGATTAACAAGCTAGACAGAAATCTCTGTCCTTTTTGCTCTTCCTATTGTTAAATCCGTGTTTTAAAAACCTAACTTTCCATGTAGATTCATATGTCGGCTCAACAACGATCTCTCTTCTCTCTCTCTCTCTCTCTCCTCCTCTCTCTCTCTCTCTCTCTTTCCCGCTCCTCTCTCTCTCTCTCGCTATCTCCTCTCTATCTCTTCTCTCTCTCGTATTCTCTCTCTCTCTATTCTCTCTCTCTCTCTCTCTCTCTTTCTCTCAGCTATCTAATCTCTCTCTATTTCTCTCTCTCTCTCTCTCTCTCTTCTTCTCTCTCTTCTCTCTCTCTGTCTCTCTTCGCTGCTCACTATCTATCTCTCTAGTAGTTTCATGTCTCTCTCTCTCTCTCTCTCTCTTCTCTCTCTCGCTATCTCTCTCGTCTCTCTCTCTCTCTCTCTCTCTCTCTCTATTCTCTCTCTCTCTCTCTCTCTCTCTCTTCTCTCTCTCTCCTCCCTCTCTCTCATCTCTCCTCTCTCTCTCTCTCTCTCTCTCTCTTCTCTCGCTATCTATCTCTTTCTATCTCTTTCTCTCTCTCTCTTCTCTCTCTCTCTCTCTTCTCTCTACTCTCTCTTACTCTCGCTATTATCTCTTTCTATCTCTTTCTCTCCTCTCTCATACTCTCTCTCTTCTCTCTCTCTCTCTCCTCTCTCTACTTACTCTCACTAAAATCTACTCTCTCTATTTCTTCTCCTCTCTCTCTCTCTCACACACATCTATCTCTCTCTATTTCTTTCTCTCTCTCTCTCCCCTCTCTCTCTTCTCTCTCTCTCTCTCTCTCTCTCTCTCTCTCTCTCTCTCTCTCTCTCTCATCTATCTCTCATCTCTCTCTCTCGCGCGTCTCTCTTCTTCTCTCTCTCTCTCTCTCCTCTCTTTCTTTCTCTCACTATCTATCCTCTCTCATTTCTTTCTCTCTCTCTCTCTCTCTCTGTCTCTCGTCTCTCTCTTTCTTACTCACTATCTCTCTCTCTATTTTCTTTTCTCTCACTCCTCACTCACTCACTCATTCACTCACCTCACTCACTCACTCACTTCACTCACTCACTACACTCACTCACTCACTCACTCGACTCAACTCACTCACGCACTCGCTCGTCGCTCTGACACTCACTCACTCCTTCTCTCGCGCCGCTCTCTCTATCCTCTCCGTTTTCTCGCCTTTTGCTAGCTTACGCGCTCTCCCCACTCTCGTTTTCACCTATACCATTTTGCAGGCCGGACTTGGAAAAATCATCAGGCCGGGAAATAAATATATGCGCGAAAAGCCCCAGTCAGGCACTTAGGCTAAGCGAAAGTGAATTGCATCCGCCCCACTATAATAATATCGCCTGCAGGCCGCAGCAGATTTTTTTTTTTTTAAACCATTGCTCTCTATCGCCGAGTCCGACCCTGGCCATATACCTTACTAGCGAAAGGCGCCGCGCAGCCAATTTTGATTAAACTTGAAAACCATGAGCTGCCGCGTGAAATCAAAGGCGCTGAGTGTGTAGACGCCCGTCAGCTGCAGCCTCAGCTAGCTGCATGGTCAGTGTGATGATCTCTATTACTTGTGAGAACTAGACAGAGGGCAGCCACTCACACGAAGATGAGTATGCATACCTACGCGACAAAAAGTGTAACATAGAATATGTGAAAACATAATAAACAAGCATGAACTAACGCTGCTAGAAGAACCTGCTGCTGACTGAACGCCTAAGGCGAGCTGCTGCTGACTGACGCCCTAGACAGAGTGAATAGACGAAAAACTGAAACGCCCTAAGGCGAGCTGCTGTCTGACTATCACGATCCAGGCGCTACACACACTACACAGCACAGCACCACACACACACCACACACACGACAACACACACACACACACACGAACACGAAACCGAGACCGATTACATGAGCGTGCCGGTTGGCGCGGCAGGTAATAAGCGTATTCGACACAGCGTTATTTTTCGCCATATCATTATCGCGCATACCGTACTCGTCCTCTCAACATTGTTAAACAATTAATAAATCGTGCGGATATCAACGTACATCATGCGAAGCGCAGTGGAGGATGACCTTTCCCTAAAAACTGTTGTTAAACATCAAATTATATTTAGTATAAACAATCAACTTATCTGTAGGTAATGCTATACAGTGACCTGTTTATATAACTAAATATTATTACACAAGCGCGCGCGCGCTCCTGCGCGCGCCGCGCGTGTGTGTGTGTGTGTGTGTGTTGTGTGTGTGTTGTGTGCGTTGTGCGTGTGCGTGCCGTCGTGCTGTGCGTGCCTATGATGTGGTGTGTGTTGTTGTGTGTGTCGGATGTGAGCTGCGTGTGCTGTGTGCGCTGTGTGCTGTCATGTGTGCTGGTGTGTGTGTGCTGCGTGTGTCCGTGTCTGCGTGTGCTGTGCGTGGTGCGTGTGACGTCAAGTGCCACTCGCGCCCTGAGGAGGCGGAGATGCGTGGGCGTGACTCGTAGCCTGCCTAGCAGCACCTGCCACACACAGTGCAAGCGTGTGTGTGTAAGCGTGCTGCGTGTCGCGTGCGCCACCCACACACAGCGTCGACCCGCCACGTCGCTGCGCGTGTGCGTGACTGACGTGAGTCGCCACTGCGCTAGCTGGTGTGAATCTCACATACACCACCGATTACACACACACAACACACAACACAACACACACAACACACGACACACACTACACCACACACACACAACACACACACACACACACAAACACACACAACACACAAACACACACCCACACACACACACACAACAACGATGTGCCACCACACACACACACACACACACACACCACACACACTGAGCACCACGAACACCATTTTTCGACACACGAAATTGACATAAGAATAGAGAACCCATCACGCCATTCACGAGCCACCTACCCACCACGGCCCAATAACCATCAGCACGCCACCGCATTGCTAAAATGCGATTGCACAACCCCCTGGAATAATAGAGAAGCACCAACATGTGATGTGTGCCCCACAAAAAAATAAACACTGTACAACAAGGTGTGTGTAGTTGATGTGAAAACACTGCACCAGTCAATAGATTCGTGTGTGAAGTTGTTGTGCGCGCACGTATCGTGTATATCCGGACGTATAACTGTATTATTTTGCATGCCTAGAGCATGCATTAGCGGGTGCTTCAACCTAATTCATGCAGACAAAAAAAGTGCATTACCGTTTTATTCCTTTTAAATATGGTTTCTTCTCAAGTTATAAAAAAATATATACTATATAAGAAAATTTCATCATATAGAAGAATGGAAACGGCACTACTAATATATAATCGACCTACAAAA